TTCCCTCCTGTATACAGTGGTAAAATCCTATGTCAGCCTTTTCAAGATCATCAATTCTGATAGAGTAGTTCCCCTCTGAGCCCTGGTTTGGAAAGACTTTCACTCGGCCATTTCTGGGGTCAAAAAATGTAACGTGCCCTTCAGATGAGAGATTGAGCAATTGCCCTGAGCCACTGTAGTTCCACGTCACCCATTTGAACTTGCTTGTTTGACTGTTGCATGGTAGAAGCACAGATGAACCAAGTGGAACCTTCAGTCTGTGTTCTTCACCGATTTCTCCTAAATGTTCACAGGATTCTTCATCATAAAGGGAAAAATGAACCAAAAGAGAAAGTTTAGGTCACTCCGTTAAAGGATGTGGATTTCTGAAATGTAACTAAGTGTTTGTGACAAAGACTAATAATGTATAAGTGATAACCTTAATCATGCTTTTTAAAACCATTAACAATCTTACATGGCCCACCCACACACAGGTAAAAAATGACCCTGTGTTACTATATCAAGGAGAAAAAGATATTTTATGAAAATGTTAAAATAAAGTTAAAAATCAAGCAGATATACTGTTTAAAATGCAGATAAACAACAATTTAGTTAAGTTTAAGCCAAAGTTGAACATTTCCTTTGTGTTTTCTTCAGGTGTTATGAGTGATCTTAAGATCACTTCATTTTGAGAAAAGAGGTTGCTGGTAGACTTTAGATCGAAATCCTGCTGAAAGTTTACATTGTTTCGTTTTCAGAATAGTTTTAATAATATTTAATAATATTATTATTTTGTGAATTTGCTCTGCAAATACCTTTGCATGACATAGAGTTCACCTTTTCTGCAATAAACACAAGTTGCCATGTGTCACTGTCAGAGAAAAACACATTGTCCCACCTCCGCACTGAGGTCTGGTTGGAATCCCTCACCTGCTTTTTTCCATTTAAGCATTATAATGATTGGATCCCTGGAGGTTAAACTGACTCATCTGAATGTGGTGGTCATTCAGACCAAGTTTATTATTTAATTTAACTCTGTAGATGTCTCTTTTTTTAAATCCAATGTCATGTCCCAGTTTTGCAACTGGTTTTAACCAGCTTGCTCTAAGATAGTTTATAGAAGATTTTACCCTGACATGACAGTTAAGTAATAGTTTAATGGTCTAAATACTTTCATTGGCCGGATTCTGAGCTCTTCACTCAGTAAAGTCAAATATTTACAAAAAAAGAAAAAAAAAGAGAGAATTGGAAGAAAACCTGACAGACTTATGTAGACATATTTTTTCTAAACATTACATTAAAACTTGTTATTATTTTTTACATTTTTAACATTATATTTTCAGATTTCTTAAAAAAAAACAAAAAAACTTACCATTTGAAGACACACAAGTGAAGCACAGGGCAAAAAGGAGAGTCCACCTGGCAACATGCATCTTCATCACCATCTTGTACAGTGTGAGCAGCACCCTGACGATGATATATTAACCTGTTCAAGCATCACGGAACAAAACCACAAGACCACCAGTTTCACTTCTTTGAAAAAATTCTTTATATTAACTGCAGCCAGATTAACACAACCATTATTGTAACTGAGCAGCAGTTATGGAAAAAACAAAACAAATGAACCCAAATGACTAAAAGAATATCTTTCAAACAGTGATAATGTACTTTTGACAGACAGCAGAAAGGACCTGATGCAAAAGTCTGCTTCAGACCACTTCCTGTGGAAATGATGTTGATGTTTCCGGAGTACGAGACACAAAGAAAGATAAATATATGAAGTGATCATTGTCATGTGCAATGTCATGTGCAGGTTTTCTTTTAATCAACATAAGATCCGAGTGTTGTGTTTTAAGTGAATTGGTTAATCAAAATTTCAGTTACTAAGCAATAGACAAAGACTCTGAGATGGGCCATGCTTTACATCCAGATTTAAATTTTCATATAAAAATTCTAATATTAATCTATTATAGAGTATACTTTAATATAACTATCATGGTATAACATTGTGTAAGTTCACATTTTGTTGGTTGCTTTTGTAGAATTGTTTAAATGTACATTAATACTTGGTGTGGTTTGGTAATCTGTAAGTAAATAAAGGTCACTGCCTCTGTCACTCAAATCCACGCCTCTGCAGTGTTTTGTCATGGTTTAAGGTTTCACAAGGTTGGGAAAGTTTCCAAGTCAGTCAAGGTTCAGTGCCACCTCAATTCTAATTTTGCTGATTCTGTTTTGAGAATTCGTGGGTTAGGATTATATTTAAATATGTCTAAGGTGTTTTTCTGTCACTGTGTGGTATGAAATACCAGTCTGTATGAATTTAAAGAGCTGGTAAACGACAGATTCACAATTCCAAAATAAAGGGATTTAATCTATCAGGTCATAGGTTAACCAGCTGAAGCCATGTGTGTTTCCTTTATCTGTCACTGGCAGCTGTCCTTAGTTTTTGACTGAAATAAGTCCCACAGGGTCACAGGAGTCCAACCTTAACATTAAAACAGTCACTTTCATCACAGGAAAAGTTGGATTTCAGGCCCTTTTATCAAACATTTTAACTTCTTTGGTACCTCCGGACATCATACCAAAAAATATAAAAATATATAATAACTAATAGATTAAAAAATAAAATAAAATGTCAAATGGTGTAGTTTAAAACCAGAAGTAACTAAATAGTATATTATATACCTATAGTGCTGAGAAATGTGTTTTTTCACCTCTCACCTCTGTTTACTGTAAAAGCTTGTGCCGAATCTCTCATTTAAAGAAAATGTCATGTGAACATTGTCATCATAGTTTAGCCTGCCACCTGCAGGCTCTCAGCTATTCTACAAGTCATAATTTGTCTACAAAATGGAGAATGTAATTAATTCAAGACATAAAACTTGGGCTTTTGCACAAACTGTAAGGATAAAATTATTGGGCTACATCTCTTAACCTTTAAATTCAGGTATTTTCAGTGCCACTGATACTTCTTGGGAACGTCTTGTATTTTGACAAAAATGTTCACTTGGTATCAAAGACGATCAAATTAAAACTTCTCGCTAATACAAATATGTAACCAGACAATCACATAAGAATCAGCATAAGAAGGAAATATAATTTAAATAGCTTTGAATGATGGCTCTGAGTATTTTAAAAATTGCTGATCTACTGGGATTTTTCCACACTCCAGTATCTCATTAAATTTCTGCCAGGTAGCATTTAAGTATTTCTGTAGTTCCACCCAGAACTAGCAAAGTGTACCCATTAAAGTGTCCACTGAGTGTATATATTTATTTTCTATTCCATCCATTTTAAGGATCTATGTTTCACTGGGTTTTCCACGTTTTAACAATAGTGACCCAAAACAAAAGTCATCATTTCGTTTTGACAGCTGCGCTTGTAGTTCTTCCTCGGAAGATTGTAGTTTCACCTTGGCAAACGTCATCAACATGAGACGCCGAACGAACGCCGCGGTTCTCTACGCCCTTACAAAATTCTCCTTCGCCGTTTTCCGTAACTCATGTCACTTGGCATGGAGGTCAATATAAAGTGTTTAAAAATGAGATAGGATGTAATTTATTTATTTAACTTTTCCGCAGTGCCTGTGTTGCCCGGACATGATCGAGCACAACTTCCGCTTTGTAAACCAATCAACTTTGCTTATTTTTCAGACGCGTGTATACGTGTAAACGGATTGGCTGGTTCAATTTTCTTCGTCTCTTTTTGAATTTGGTGTTAGTTCACATGGGACTGTTTATTTTCTACCAGTAACTCTATGTACTGTAGACAGTCAGGCGTATCTTCAGACACTAACGAGCTACACTACAGACTACTGCTGTACAAGTGGCAAGAATTGCTAACCTTTAAGGTGAGTCACGATTTTTACTACCGTTCGACTTAATAGACGTTACTGAACCCTTTGGCAGCTCTATTTCGGCGCAACAGTAGGTCGGCAGCTGGTGCTTTAAAACATTATGGTCAAAATAACTTTGCTGAAACATAGTGTAGATATTATTGTCAGGTACTTGTTAAGTAGTAGTAGTTAAAAAATGTCGTGCAGCAATGTTAATCGGTGCTAATTGGATAGCTTGCAAGTATTTAACATAGCTTTTTGTTTTATAGTTTCCTGAGTGCAAATCCCTTTTTTGAATAAAGGGTCAGCCAAGATGGAGATGAACTTGGCTGTAAAGTCTTTACTTGCCTGGGTAAGTTGAGTTATGTTAGTGGACATTACGGTGAAATGATTGCACTAATGTTTAGTTTGAACCCTTTTTTGTTTTGTTTTTTTCTCTCCAAACTATAATTTTATAGGTGAACAGTTTAAAACTCTGTGACTCAGAGCTGACCACCGATGACTTGCAGGACGGAGTGATCTTACTTAGACTTGTTTATATGCTGTAAGTATGCTGGCAATGCGGTGTAATGTTTAGCTTGTGTAAACAGGGAGTGTCAGCGACTGACAGGGTGTTAAACGTGTTGGTTGTGTGCTTTTGGAAAATATAGAGCTCCTACTTCCTTGCAGTAAACCTTTATTTTATTATATTTTTCTTCTTTTTCTTTGTCATTTTAGGAAAAAGCAGCCGATCCCCTGTCTAAATGATGCAACTGAGGATCGGTTCAGAGTCATTGCAGAGTTTCTAGAAAGTGAGTTTCTTTCTGGAGAGACTTCTTAAAAGAGTGTCTTTTTGAACGAGTGTGATATTAATACAAGATATATGTAATAAAGGATCCAGCTGGTGAATCACAGCACTTTAGCTTATTGAGGTTTATGTTGTTCCAAACCAATGACTGAAGTACATATGATCAAAGGGGATTTCATGGTCTGATCGGGCTTAAACCGCTTTGTATTTCAAAAAGTGTTGATGTAGGAACTTAGAGCTCATCCTTACTTTAAACACATTGTTTTCTCTCCCTTAAATAACAGATATTTTGCACCTTTGGACACACCCTGCATTCCTGGGTGGGATCCAGATTGTGTCCTGGTAGATGGACTGCTACTTATTTAACTCTTTTCTACTGTTACAGGGCGTGTTTTAGCCTACAAGCCAAATTCACTCATTCATACAACACACATTAACTCTAGTGGATAAGTGTTAGTTTGGGGTTTAGTGTCTTGCACAGGGACGCTTCAGTATGTGAGCAACTGACCTTCATGTTTAAAGATGATTGGCTTTTCTTCCTGAGCCTCACTGTAAAACTTCCTCACTGGTACCATTTTTATTATAATGTGTGATAAATATATTACTGACCTGAGCATGTGTGTGTTTTGTTGTTTAGGGGACTGCAGATTTAATGCAAGCAAGAGCTCTTCTCTGCGTTGGGACCACATTAGAGATGGCATCAGCCTAACAGCTGAAATTTCAAAGGTAAAAAACTTCCTCTTGTTTTTCATTTTTCTTTTCAAAGGCCCAAAGAAAGTACTTATCATACTTCTTTATTGCGACATCACTAGGTGCTTTTGTTGCTTGTATACCATGATATGATGAATGACCACTGCACTCTGAACATGTTGGACTGCGATGTGGAGGTAAGCTGGGAGCTGCTGGTGTATTGTGGTCACACTTATACATCTCATCTCATTTATCATGAGTTGCTTGGTGCTATTATTTTTAATTCTATGTGTATTTATTTATTCCCACTCTGCTAGCGGGAACTAGCACACCTAACTAGTTCCTTTGTGATGGAGAGTGAGGGTTGTGTTTATTTGAGCGAGGAACTTGACGCTCATCTGAGAGGAAAACGTAAGTCACAAATATGTCACTTTTGTTTTTTCCCTCCGAGGTAGACTGTAATAAGAAGTCTTTAGCAAAACAAACAAACTAACTGGCTTGACTCTATCGTGCAATCTTTGTCTCAGATTTGACTTTCTCTCAAGAAATATTTGAGCAATCAGCAGCCACCTCTGGTACCAACATGTCAAGCATCTCTTCCTTCTTGGGTGATGAGTCTCCTTTCTTCCACCGAACCAGTAGAATTAAATTTGTGGACATAGAAACTGTGGCTTCTTCTTCAGTCAGGTACCAGATTTGACTTAAATATTTTCAGGTTATGTTACAATATTCATTTAAAGATATAAGACAGTTTTATGGCTTATGTTGATCCAAACTTCCTCGTATTACATTATCTTATAATATACATGATGAAAATCCACAGGTTGTCATCATTTCGTTGAAAATCTTTACCTTTCTGATCTGCTTAATTCACACAGCTGTTCTCCTCTGGAGGATGTAATGAACACACCGAAATTTCAGCTGAGGAAAATGCAGCGACAGATGATCAAGGAGCGAGACTACCGAGATAGTTTGGAGAGGGAGCTGGCCAGCAAGATTGCGCTCATTGAACAAAGAGGTACTATCTGTTGAATGTATGGTTTGCATTTTGTTAGACTTATATGAGAAATGGCAAAATTCTTGTTAAAGCACCACTCATGTGTGTCTAAGATTGTCTGCATTTTCATTTAAGCTTGTTATGTTTTCAATAGACTTTGCTTCGTGCTTTGGTTTTCTTTTTCTCTCTGTCCCAGAGTCTCGCATTAACCAGTTGCAGTACCGCCTGGATAAACTAAAGGAAGAACAAGGTGATCAGGAGCATGTTACCAAAGAACAAATTAATGAGCTTGAGATCAAGAACAATGAGTAAGTACCCAAGAACAGTGATTTATGAACCTATAACTAGGGATGGGAATTGATAAGATGTTCACGATTCCGATTCCTTTTTCGATTCTGTTTAACAACTTGATTCTTTATTGATTCTTGTTTTAAAAAAGAAGAACACACAGGTCGATTAGCTTATAACTTTGTTTTATATCTTCTCTTTGAACAAGATAGAAATTTAGGAGTAACATGGCCTTACAAACCCAACAGTAAGATCTTAAGAGATTCACAGCCTAGGCTTCAAATTAATTGAAACAGTGGGAACCGGTTCTCAACAAGAACCGGGTTTCGATTCCCATCCCTACCTATAACACCATATAAAATCATCATTTTAATATCACAACCATAACATCTAATTTCTATCCACAAAAGTTACACGATATTTTGTCATCATGTTGCTTAGCAACCCCCTAACAACAGACTAAATTCTGTACAACAGACTAATAGTCTGTACTTCAAGACCTTTGTACAGAAGTGTTTAAAGTAACATTTTTATTTATTTATTTTCCAGCTTACAGAAGCGTCTTAATGAGATGCTGAAGCAAAATAAAGACCTCAAGACAAACACTTCACTCATGGAGCGCAAAGTGGATGAGCTTGCAGATGAAAACGGTGTGCTTTCTTCTCAGGTAATAACATGCAAAATATTCTGGGTTTTTTTTTTTTTTTTTTTTTAAGTTGTTGTTTGTTTTGTTTTGTTTTTTTCTTGAGGGTCTCTTATTTACACTAAAGATCTAATGACCGTGTCTGCTGTTATGGCTTCCAAACCTTTTGAGGCAAATCTGTGATGTGAGTGAATTCTCACTCATGACAGGATTCAGTAAAGGTCATGTGCATTTCATGTTTCTGGAGAGTGTTGCACTAGTAGAAACTTGAGGAGTCTTGAGGAGTTTTTTGTGTCAGTTTTGAGATCAAAACATGGATTTGAAAAACCTTTTTATTTTTTAAACATTTTCTCAGGTGAGAGCTGTGTGCTCACAGCTTGCCGCCTTTGAGACAGAAGTTGGTAGACTGACGGAAAGTCAAACGTCTGCTCAGGAGGAGTGGAGAAACAAAAGAAACCATCTACAGTCTGAGCTCAACCAAGCAACTGCTCAAAAGGTATAGATTCACAAGAGATATTGTTTAACATGCATTCCTATGTAATTCAGAGAAATCTGAATGCAAAAAGGACAATGAATAGGAAACATCATGTCTGTTAAAGACTCAGAAGAAAAGCACATTTAAATGCTCATGTCTGCCTATTTTATTATAAATAAAGAAGAGTAGTTATATTAGTTTTGTGTTGACTGTAAGTAATCTTATTTCTCCATTGATCTCATTAAATGTTGGGTTTTATACAAATTAATTTACTGTAAGCTGCTTCCTTTCTCATTTCTCAGGAACTCCTTACAGAACAAATTCAAATCCTTCAAGGAAAGATTTCCTGTTTGGAGGATGAAATAAGCAAGGCCAGTAAGGATGAAGTAGGGGAAAATATGGGACCCATAGTAGAGGTAATTATATGTAAAAGCTAACAATTTTAAAACCAAACTTAATTGAAAATATATAAAATATTATGGTAAGCGATAAACATCTTGAATTGTTTATTTTCAGTTTAAGTTTGGAAATTTTATTTTCTACTTCATTGATTATAATTGTTGGTTCTTCTTAAATTGCCAGAGAGAAATGTTGGAGACTGAAATCAGGGTTTTGAAGAATGAGCTAGAGACTACACATTTCTCCCTGAAAAAGGCTGAGCTGGAGATTCATGCTAAAACTCAGCAACTGGAGGAATGCCACCAAGAAATTAGGGAGATAAATGAGCAGAGGGGAGTTCTTCAGGAAGAGATCCGAGTCCTTAAGCTTCAGCTTGAGCAGGTTGAGCAGCAAAAAAATGAGCAGACAGACAGGCTACAACAGCATATTGCTGCTTGTGAACAAGAAATTAAAAAACTACAGGAAATTAAGCAAGCAAAGGAAGATCTTCTTCGTCAGACTGAAGAAAAGGTGAACGATCTTGAGACAAAGTTAACTGCTGCTACCTCTCTGTTGGCTGTTAAAGAGCAGCAAATTAACAGTCTCAAAGATGAAGTTGACATTCTTACTGATGAAACTAACAAAAACAAAGATGAAATTCAAGCCAAAGAAGAAGAGCTTGCCAAGTTACTTCTTGAGAAGTCTAATGTGCAAGAAACTCTCAGTGACAAAATCCAGATCTTAACAGCTCAAGTGGAAGACCTTAATTCATCTCTCAAACAAGCGCAGCAGGAAATTCACGTGAAGCAAGACTTACTGGATAAAACCACACAAGAGAATGTCCAACAAATAGAGCTACTTCAACAACAAAGTGCTGAACATATGGAAGCACTCGAGAAGCAGAAGACAGCATCTCGAGAAGAAATGAAGAGGCTAAATGCAGATATTGATGCTAAGGAAGAACAGATGGCTCGGCTAGAGACTGAGGCCTCTACACGCTCTGAATTGCTGCAGCAAGAACTTGATGATCTGAACAGCCAAATAAAAAGCATGACCCATTCTCTTGAGATGGCCAAGGACCAGGCTCAAGCCAGAGAAGCTTTAATGGCCAAACAGCAAGAGGAAAGCACTTTGCAGATTGAGGAGCTTAGACAGCAAATTTCAATTCTTGAGGCAGAAGTGAATCGACTGAAGCAGGAAATCCAGACTAAAGAGGCTGAGGTAGATGAGATAAAGACCAACAACTGCAAGGAGTCAGAGGCTCTACAGAATGAGATCCAAGCTCTTCAGGGTCAAGTGCAGTGTTTGAATGAATCACTGA